AAACACACTCACCCTGACTTACAGTCTAAGCTGACTTATAGTCTAAGTTGTTCTAGTCCCTGACTTTTAGTATAATTAAGTAGAATCAGAGCACAACACCACGCGTAAGCTAATGTCTACACTAACGGGTGGCAGCTAACGCACATAGTAAGAAAGAGCTAGGAGATATTAAAGTAACGTTATGAATATTTTATCGACGTAATAAGCAAACTGGGGCGATAATTAATGAGGATCTCCTCCATTATTAATTACGCAATGGTGCCATGGAAATACAACATAGGTCACCATTGGGATTTCTTCTTTGAGAGTATTACCGTAACTCCACGATAATGACATAAAGGAACGGCTCAACGTTGTAATCTACACTCTAAAGTACTAGTCACAGTTCGTCACAACACCGCTGAGATATCGCACGTGTGCGTTTTGTCGCTAGCATGCGAGTTTGTGTTCGATACGGATTTGTAAGGAAGCCATACGGTGAAGATGTCCTGGTGCTCGTCGGACCTATTTCGGCTGCTAACGACGACGCTTCATAAGCCGTAAAGTAGGCGGCGTAAAAGGCTTTGCGACGGCCTTTCTCGCGATATGACCCCTCGTGCAGGAGAACGCCCTCCCCCATAAGTATAATCTTTGCAGACGACCAGCTGTGCGCAGGTGGGTGTTTATGTGCTCTACGTACGTTTATACTCGGATCGTCATGTTTGTGAGAGTAGCGTACATGTTATATATTATGTATACGGCATATGCATGCGTTGTTACTCTGCGACATAGAAATTCATAAATATACACTATATATATATACGCGCCCACAAACACACACACACACGTGTGTGTGTGTGTGTGTGTGTGTGTGTGTGTGTCGCGCGCGCGCTAGGCGTGTGGTTGTGAGTGATGTGTGTGGGTGTGTGTGTGCGTGTATGTGTCGGTGTGTGTTGTGTGTTGTGATGTGTGGTGTGTGTGTGTGTGTGTGTGTGGTGTGTGTGTGTGCCGCGCGGCCCGCGGTGTGTGTGTGTGTATGTGGCCGTGTGTGTGTGTTTGTGGTGTGTGTGTGTGTGTGTACGTGGTGTGTGGTGTGTGATATGATGTATGTATTTATGTATGTATTATCGTAATGTATGTAATTGTATGGATGATGGTAATGTATGTATGTATGAATAGTATGTATGTATGATGATGATGTATATTATGTATTAGTATTGTAATGTATGTAGTATGTATGTATGTAATGCTTATGTATGTATGCTATGTAGGTAGGGTAGATGCACGCGGGCTGCGAGAGCGGTGTAATATCGCAGCAAACGCAGTAGTGACACTATATCTAATGCCCGCGCGGGCAGCAAGAAATGATCATCCGCTGCGATTGGCTCTGATGCGTGACGCAGACCGCTTTGACCCTGTCTCTTTGGCCGCGCATCTCCTGCCTCCTCTCGCATCGACCGCGGGCTTCGATGTGCTGTTGCGTACACATCATTACTCCTGCGCCGATCTGATAGAGTTATAGTGCGCTAATGCAGCGTATCAGCTGGCCGCAGGGGCGCATTATTAAGCAGCAAGCTAAGCGAGCGGTGCTCTGTCTTACAACTCTGGCAAATCGCCTCATTTCTATGCTAGGCTATGCGTGAAAGACACGCCTACCGCCGCAATCATCGCTAACATAGGCGATAACAATCAGTGACCTCCCCCCCACACACAATACACACACATACACACAGCATACACACACGCTCAACGCACGCCAACGCACGCACGCAACGCAACCACCGCCCACACGCAACAAAAGATATATAGTATATATAAACATTAATAATGTAATAAAATATACCAAAAATTATGGTAGGTTAATAATAAAAGATGAAGTATGAATCGCATTGCTCATCATAATAGGCTCACAGAAATGTAACTAGAACCTACCCAGTAACAATATATACGGAATAGAAATCGGGCAGAATTATAGCGAATAGACACATATATACAAAAGAATTAGCAAGAAACGTTTCTAGTTTAAATTGATTCAAATTTCGTTACGCGACAGACGCATCACACTAGATAGAAGAATATCGGTCTCAGGATGTTGAGTTCGATATACGATTTGAGCATACTATATAGGCGGATCGAGGCGCGTTGTAGGTGTTTACCCTGTATATGTAGTTAAATTACTGATAAATTTATTTTTAAATGACTTAGCACGGCGCGAAATGCCAGTGCTGACCGGCGCCAATAGCGCGTGATATGGCGACATAACCAGGAGAAGTCATCGAACTTGAATGGATAAGTTGTTCCGATGAATGCTCCGCATCGATAGATAATCGGCTGAAGAGCGTGGTGCTTCGTACGGCAATCCTAAGCGTCGTAACGAGCATTAAATTGAAACTGAAGGGGCATTACTCGCGCATGCAGTCACGCTTACAACACCATTCCGTATACCAAGGTGGATAATCACCAAACCTAGTCTCGCTTATGCGGCAGCAACGTCCCGCAGCAGCGTGATACCATCTATCACGCAAGCGAAGCGTAGAGTCCCCGGCTATAAAGAAGGCGGACAAAAGACGAAATGCGTGCCGCCGTGTCAAGAGAATACTCGTCGCGCCGTAAGTAGTTAGTAATAACCTAGGCTGGTTTATAAAGTGTCGTAGTTTGTGTCCAATCGTTAAACGCGCCGAGGAAAGCCGCGATAAAACTCCCGCAGCAGCGCGTGGCGCATACAATGTAATGCGGTTGAGGATAGTGAAAAGGCGGCGGTGGGGTTCCAGAAAAAGCACTTAGGCAGCGTTACTTGCGGCAAGAAATAAAAATAACATTATTAGAAAGTGCGTATGCCATCGTTCTAACGCATTCTCAAGCCTCCTCTAATCGCCTCGGCACGCAAGGTACTAAACGAATCCCTATAGCAGAAATGCCATGCTATGGGTGGTTTTTCGCATGCGTATCAGCGCTATTCTAGTGTGCCCGGTCATTGAACTGCTCCGATCAGAGCTGCTCGATCAACGTTCACGGACAGGACCCGGGACGCAATAAGTAAGCTAAATACAAAAACTAAATTTACTAAAAATTATACAAATCTAAGCGTACGTCGTAAAACGTAACGTCGAAACAAGCGACCACATTTCCATGCTTCCATGCAACTGCGATAACCATCTTACAGACAAGTCAGACCCAAAAGATCAACGTACCAAACGTTCATCGCGGCTAATGAAGTTATTCTTGTTCCTTTCCGACGTAAGAAAAAGATCACTCGACGTACGCAGGCAGCCTGGTGCAATAGAGAGAGCGGAGAGAGAGAGAGAGAGCAGAGAGAGAGAGAGAGAGAGAGAGAAGAGAGAGAGAGAAGAAAGAGAGAGAGAGCGCGAGCGAAGGAGAGAGAGAGAGAGAGAGAGAAGAGAAGGAGAGAAAAGAGAGCGGCGAGAGAGAAAGAGAGAGAGAGCGCGAGAGAAGAGAGAGAGAGAAAGAGAGAGGGAGGCGAGAGACAAAGAGACAGAGAGAAAGAGAGAAAGAGAGAGGGATAGCGAGAGGGAGAGAGAGCGAAAGAGACAGACAAAGAGAGAGAGAGAGAGAGAGAGGGAAAGAAAAAAAGAGGTAGAAAGAAATAGAGAGAGAGAAAGAAATAGAAGAGAGAGAGAGAGAGAGAGAGAGAGAGAGAGAGAGAGAGAGAAGACTGCGTATCGCATCAAAGAGGCCCGCCTCCTTGCCAGTCGCCAGAATTACGATACGAAACGACGTCGCTGCGTGGGATCCAGTTGACGAACGACGCCATCGCTAATCTACGGTTTAGGACCGAGGCGCTCGTTTCTTTTAGCTCCAGACCGCCGCCGCGGCCGTCTGCCGCTGCTGCTGCTGCGCCGCTGCTGCTGGCTGCTGCTGCACTGCGCTGCTCTGTCGCCCAGCCAACGCTGCCCGCCGCTGCTTGGTGCGGTGGTGCGCTGGCTGCTGCGCTGCGCTGCTGCTGCAGCTGCCTGCTGCTGCCGGTGCGCTACTGCTGCCGCGCCGCGGCTGCCTGCTGCGCTGCCAGCTCCTGCCCCGCTGCTGCTTACTGCTGGCGGTGCGGCTGCTGCCCGTGTGCTGCTGCTGCTGGCGTGCTGCGCTGCCTGCCTGCCTGCCTGCCGAAGCTGCACCTGCCTGCCGCCGGACGCGCTGCTGCTGTCTGCCTGCGTGCCTGCCTGCCGCTCTGACTGCTGCATACGCTGCTGCGCTGGCTGCCGCTGCGATGTTGCCTATGGGCTTGCTGCTGCCTGCGCCGCTGGCTGCTGGCCTGCTGCTGTCGCTGGCTGCTGCTGGCAGCTTGCTCTGTTGCTTACGCGCGCTGCCGCTGCTGCTGCTAACCGCTGCTGGTGCTGTGCTGCCGTGGCTGGCCACTGTCTGGTGCCGCTGCGCTGCTGCGCCGCTGCTGGCTGCTGCCGTCTGCTGGCGGCTGCCTGCTGCTGCGTTGCCGCTGCTGGGCCTGTCCGCTGCTAGCTGGCTGCCAGCTGCTGCGGCTGCCGCTCTGCCCGCTGCTGCGCCCGCGCTGTCGCGTTGCTCCGCTGCCTGCCGCTGCTGCCCGGCCGTTGCTGCTGCCGTCGCTGTTGCTGCCGTCTGATTGCTGCGTTGCCTGCTGATCGCTGCTGCGCTTGCTTGCTGGCCGAGCCGCTGCGCTGCCGCTGCGCGCGCCGTGCTGCTGCTGCTTGCCGCTGCTTGTCCGCCCTTTGCTGCGCGGGGCGGGATTCAATTCCGACGTTGGCACGCCGACGACGCGGAAGGGTTTCGACAGAATTCTCGTCGTCAACAGCCGACGGCATTTCGGCAAAACGCGCGCAATCCGGAAATAATCGTCGTCATCGTCGGATGCCTGCGGGATGAGGAGGAAGCCAGAAGAGCTGCGCTTGGCGGGATGCTGCGCTTTTTAGTAGGAGGCCGACGTAACGTGACCCGCTCCTTTAGCGGTGCCAGCCATCGACGCGTCGTTGCGTTAGTGTGGCCCCGAGGCAGGAGTGAAAATCCTCGAAGTAGTGCGCATGCAGTGGGCAAGCGCAGCGGATGACAGCCGTACGACCTGTGGCGTATAGTCTGTCACCCGCATCGCATCTGTAATTGTCGCGCAGCACCGCTCGGTGTCGACTGATTAAAGTTAAGAAAACATCGTCCGATGGGAAATCTGTTGAAGCTGCAGCGCGTCTCGTATCGCATACACGTGTCGCAGCAGCAGCCGCAGCCGTAGCGTCTGAAACAGCCGCAGCATCCGTCCGCGAAAACAAAAAACAGCAGTAGCAGCAGCGAGGGTAGCAGCGGCGGCAGCAGCGGAGACGCGGCAGTTGTGCATGACGAGGATGAGGACGCAGCGAAAAGCCTCGTGGCGATCCGCGTCGCAGTACGAAAAGGTAAGGCTTGAAAAAATCATGTCTCATCTATCTCATTCGGCGTATAGGGATCACGTGATTCGATTGCGAACGCACGTCGTCGTCCCTCCGGGCGACGTATTGCCTCATGCTCATGAAAAACTATTCACGACAATGAATGTAGTTGCGTGTACATCGTGCGTTTTGTCCGCGTGTACGTGTACTTGCGCTTCTCCGTGTATGTATGTATGTATATGTAATGGTATGATATGTATGTATGTAGTATGTATGTATGATGTATGGATGATATGTATGTAGTATGGTGGGTGTGTGTGTTGTATGTGTGTGTGTGTGTGGTGTGGGGGTGGTGTGTGTGTGTAGTGTGTGTGTGTGTGGTGTGCTGTGTGTGTTGCGGTGATGTGTGTGTGTGTGTTGTGTGGTGTATATGTAATATATAATATATATAAATAGTAAGAATGTTGTGTGGCGTGTGGTTTGTGTGTGTGTGATGTGTGTGGTCGTGCGGCGTGCGTGCGTGCGTGCTGCGTGCGTGCGTGCGTGCGCGCGCCTGCGAGTGTCTCTGTGCGTGTGTGCGTGCGTGGCGCGCGCGCGATGTGTGTTATGTGCGTAGGTATAAGTGTGTGTGTGCTGGTGTGTGTGTGTGTGCTGTGGTGTGTGTGTGTGTGTGGTGGTTGGTGTTTGTGTGTATGATTGTGTGTGCGTGTGTGCGCGCACGTTTATCATATAGGGTAAACAGGCATTATATATTGATTATGCATTTGAAAAACGCAACCCTAATATTAGTATTGATCTTCGTCCATTTTTACCGGCGCCACGACTCGAGTTTGAATTTGCATCCGAAAGCACGTAAGAGCCGCGATAGCTACTACGACCACTAGTAATACTATTCATATGCACTACGGATATGTACGGGCCGAAATATCTGGAATGCTTTATTTCGATCAGTATGCAATCGCTTGCCGCGAACGTAAAAGGTTTGACATGCCATATATAGCAACATCTGATATATAGCAGTTTGCTACTTTAGGCAAGGAGAGGTTTTGTGTGGTTTACTATTCACGCGAGAGAGAGGTTATGGGTGGATGATATACTGTTTACAGAAAGGACAGTTTGGGGGAGAATCAACTAATCACTGGGAGAGGAGGCTGGTGTGCTGTACTTCACATGTGGGGGCAGAGGGTGAGGCTGGCCGACAGTTGACTGAAAAAGTCCTCGGGGATGGTCTAATTATTCCAACTAGGGAACAGTCGACTGTTCGCAGGAAGAAAAAATCGAAGATGATATACTGTCCTCGGGGAAGAGAGTGTTGCCTAGAGGGGGTGCTGAGGATGGTCTAATGTTTATAGCGATGTCCAAATATACCTCACCTATCACGAAAGCAGTAACTCTGAGAGACATTCCTTTACAAGGCAAGAGTTGAAAGTTCTAATTTATTCTAATATCCATTCTATATCTAGCAGAGAAGCTAATTTGGGGCTCTTAGTTTGTTCTCGCACGAAGGCATTCTCTTGTACCCGGAAGCAAGAAATAAGACTTTTCGCATGCTCTTAGAAAAGCTGAAGGTATTTACTTGTTCAACACCTGGGGGATTAATTACAAGAAAACGCCAGCGACAGCTGAACTTATCATAATCATTGTTAACGCGTTGCTGTCATGAAGCGTTAATCTTAATTACATGGAGTCCTAATTACATTGATGGAAGCCGCCTAAGGTCAGCAACCTGTCTCTGAAAAAAATTCACCCAAAAACCTGTTCCTATGGACAATCTGATGACTGAAACTTTCGCCGAACAAAAACAAAACGATACGAGGTGGATGGACGTTATACTCGTTACTGACTGTGCAAATGCTGCCTTGTGTTTTAAACAATTACTGCGTTGTGATTCTAAGGAAACAAAATTACAGGCGACGGAGAAGAAGCATTTAGCAACTTGTAAAAAACTGGGAAAAAACGGTCAGGTACGTATCTTGAGGCAATCATTAGTTTTCTGGTTGCCCGCCTTCAACTATATGATGTAGCGTATATACACGCTATACATCATATATACGCCCCGTATGTTGTAGTGGTAGTCCGCCATTTAGACAGCTCACGGAGAAGGGGGAGCGAAAGAGAGAAAGGCGAAAGACAGAGAGAGATGGTTTACCTTGCGCATGCGTAGACCGAGCACAAACGGCTTTTAGACATCGTAATGAGGGGTCGATACACACACATGCAAAGAGAGAGAGAGAGTGCGCGCGAGAGAAAGAGGTACAGAAAGAGAGAGAGAGAGAGAGAGAGAGAGAGAGAAAGAGAGATAGAGAAAGAGAGATAGAGAGAAAGAGAGAGAGAGAAAGAGAGAGAGAGAGAGGTACGGAGAGAGGTACGGAGAGA